GGGCGGACTACAGCTCCCAGCATGCAGAGGAGCGGTCCGCGGCGGTTACGCGGAAGGGCGGGGGGCGGGAGGCGGGAGGCCGGAAGCCTCCCCGCAGCTATGCCTTCTGGGAGATGTAGTTTCTCTCAGCGAGGAACTCGCTTCGCGCCTTCACGGCTGGGGCGCTCTCAGCGTGTCTCTTGTTCTTACTCTGATGGAGCGGCTCTGGGCTGACTCCCCTGCTCCCTCCTGGGGGCTAGCGGTGAAGAGAAGGGTGCGGGTGGCGGAAGGAGGCGGGGACCTCCTGCCTCCATCAATTTAGAAGTCCTGTACTTCTGCGGGTTAGGCTATTGCTCACTGCTTTTCCTGTGTCATTACAACTTCATCGAGTGCTTTGCCGATTCCTAGTCGGATTTTGTAACTGTTAGTATGTATTTATTGTTTGAAGCTTCTTTTCTTTCTTTGCAGCTGTTAGGGCTGGAAAAACAAAAACTCCTGTGAGGCTTAGGTCGTAGCACTGATACTGCCCACAAGGAGCAGAAAGCAGGCAGAGGTTTCTAATATTCCAATTTAGTAACACTTGGAAAATTTAGGGGGGTAGACATGGCAGAGATTCTCCTATCATAAGCAAATGTTTTTCTTATTTTTTTTTTTTCTTGTTGGTATGGAGTGAAGTGTTAAAAACAAAATTCTGGATCTGTCATGTTTTAAGCCAATCGTTCAGTAAATGAATTCAAACATCTGAATAAACTTATGCCAAATGAGCACCCTCTTTATTTTTTCATCAGGCAGTGCCGAAAGCAAGTGTTTTCTTTGTGTAGCTTTGAAAGCAGATCAGAAACTGTGGAAAGTAGAATGTCAGAAGATATTGAACAAATTGAAAAAGAAATAGAAACCGAATTAAGCAGAATCAGTGTTTCTTCATTTGAAGCAGGTGATCCTGACACGGAGGTATCAGACGAAGCTCTGAGTGACAGTGAGACAGTAAGTATTCAATGGGCTAAAACTGCTTCTGTTTCTGCTTGAAAGCAGTACAGGCATTGGAAAGACTTATCTGATGATATCCTTTTCTTGACATACATAATCTGAGAATTTCTTTTGAAAAGTATTCTCAGTAGTATTGCTTAATGAAAAATGTAACCCCCAGTGGTGATAATAGAAGAGATCAATATCAGCACTCTGCTTAAAGTGAGAAAATCAGACTTGGAGGTAATGATTTGTTCTAGAATCCTCTGAAGCAGGAAGATTTTATTAAAGTTAATGAAGTAGATTAAACCTGGATAAATAAACCAATGATTCTTAATTTAAATTCATATTTACATCTTAAAAGAAAGTGCCTTATGTTTGAAGACTTGCTGATACTAATTTGGTGTAAATTGGTGCTTCAGGTCCTCTTTTTTTTTTTTGGATGACTTCTTTGGGGAAAGGTTTTCCTTTGAAATCCAATTAGTTATTTGGGTCCTTTTGAGTTATTTTATTCTTTCAGATTCATAGCAAAATAATTGATCTATGGAATATTAGGATAGATTATATTGGTCATATGGGACAATAAATCCTATGTTTGATAGGACTTAAGAGATAGGCAAAGGCATCAGTGATAGTTATTTGTGCACTCACATGCTGAATGACAGCAATTCTTATCACAATTTACACATCTTAGAGAAGGCAGCCCATTTTCCAATATTCTTGCCGTAAAAGACAATCTTCTTAATAGAAAATATGTAGAAAATAGAAAGTAGTAAATGAAGTTGAAGCATCTGATTTACATGCATGCTTTAAATTAATTTATTTTTTAAAGATGGAACATTTTTAAGAAAAAGATCCTATACATCATAGGTATTCATTACTTTTTGCCTTAACCTTTTCTTTAATTTTTTTGTCCAACACAATTGCAAAGAAAATGTTAATTGAAACATGTTTCTGAAGATAAGTTAAAATGTGTTCCAATCAAAGTTTAATTAGATTGTAATTAAAAATGTCAATTATTAGTTGTTTAGTGAGTGATAAGACGGTGGAAGAGTGTAGGAATTCAGAACAATTTAGTCACAGTTGCTACTAAACCTCCAGCAGTGATTTCATGGTGAAGCCAAAATGAATCTTTATTTTTGCATGTCAGATATTTACCTCTGGTCATTACTGTGAGGTGAAAATGTTGAATTTATGCCAAATGTCTTGTTTTCCTAGATTTCAGATGACTTACAAGAATCAGTTCTCTCCTATTTAAACTTTATAAAAAGTGGAAATCAAGATGCTGAGAGGCTTATACTGCAAGACACAGAAGATGAAGAAACCACAAGTAAGCAGGGGTCACAGTTAAGGTATTTATGCACCTCCCATTGCCAGTGGAAATTATACTAAAAAACGCCAATAAAACAATGCAAACTTTAAGCAGTGCAAGGAGTGAAACCTATTGCATCAGCTTCTGAAGGCATGCTGAAAATCTCTAGGAATAAAACCATGCCATGCTGCCTTCTAGGATTAACATCTGAGTTGCTGCCTTCTATGATTAACATCTGAGTGTGAATTAAATTTTTCTAAAAATTTGTCTGATGCTAAACCATAGTTTAACCCAAGTTGCAAAATTATTCTCTGAAACAGGACCTAGGTCAGACTCTTCATGAGAATCTAAAATGATGTCACTAGGAGCTGAAGTTACAAGTTTAGATACAATTGAACCTCATAGAATACATTTAAAAATCTGTCTTTTTAGGGGTATCCAGGCTAGCATTAAATGAAGTAATCTTGTAATGTGGAACAATATTGCTGTGTCAGCTGTGTGACTGAAGCCAAGCTTATAGTTTATATGCCAGAGGGACAGTGGTGCCAGTTCCATTCTAGTTTTTCACATCATCTTGAGTTTCACATTCATTTAGTATAACCATCTCTGTGAACAAAAATTCAAAATCATCTATACATTTTCATACTTGAGGAAGATTTCTTTTTATCTTTTTTTTTTTTTAATGGACACACTTTTTTTTCATTATTTTTGTAGTTCTCTGTTAGTTTTTGGCCTATCTGATACCAGTTCTATTGTGTTTTTGTACCTTGAAAATGTTCTACTGTGTTCTATGCTGTGGAATTTTCTTTCATAATTGCTGTCATTGGATTCCTACAGTATCATTATGTGTGTTGCAGTTATACATATTTGCTGCTTTTAATGTATATAAATGACTCCTATATATATTTGAGTAAAATTAGGGGTGAGTTGTTTAAGAATTTTGAGGGAAAAAAATGCTGTTTTTTTAGCTTAAAGAAATATGGAGCAGAACTGACTACTGGTAAGGCATTTTCTGTCTGTGTAATAAATTGTATTTTTTTTTTCTTCTTTAGGTAACATTTATGGAGTAGTTTCTTGCCATGCTTCAGATTACTTGGCAGAACTGGCTTCTGAATATAAAGAAGATCCAGAACAATTTAAAAAAAGGGTATTCTCTGTTTAAACAATATTTATAGTGAACAAAATTCTATTAAGGTATCTAGGTAATTTACATTTGTTTTGTTTGCCTCCTAAGGAGGCCTACAGATGTGTTCAGTTTGGTTTCTGTCAGACTTGTCCATAAGGTATTAAGATGAGTTTTGTATATGCCATTCTTCAGAATGGGGACATCAGCTGTAATACGTCATGTCCATAAGTCTTAAAATTTGGAATAAATTCTCTGTATTGGTAGTTAATATGCGGACCACAGAAATCAACAAGATTAAACAAAACTGAATAATCCTTTATTGTTAAGTATTTGCAGAATATTATGTCAGTAGTAGGATAACATTTTTAACCTGCTCTATCTTATTATTTTTATGATTAATAGGAGGATGTGCTACTATAAATCTTGCTCATTATATATTCCATTATTTTACAGAAAATGTAAGTGCAATGTCTGTAACTTTCAAAGACAAATCAAGAGTTATGAACCTGGGTTATTCTATATTTTCCTAGGATTCAACTGAATAACAGACTGAAGTTCTTAGAAAAACATAAGCCTGTGTTTAATTTAATCACTTTTAATTTGTCTCCTGGCTTTTATTAGGAAGCACTTCTGCAAACATGATTTTTTTTGTTCTCAGAAGACCATTGTTTAGAACAGCACAATTACTTTATGTGACTTCAGCTGTATTACAGATATTAATACATGCCCCAAGCATGTGATGAACAGATGATAAATTAGCAGAAATAGATTACTTCTTGCCAATAAAGAACAATGAAAGAAATAAAGCAATCTTCATGCCTATAGCATTACTTTCCAACTGACTTCTTAGAAATTTGCTCTAACAAGTTCTTCCCCGATGTGCATGACAGTATTAATGCATATAGTGCTTAGTTCCTCAGAAAGTAAAACAAATCTCAAATGAAAAACATGCATTTTTCCAAGGCAATATGTAAAATGTATTTTAAAACCACATAGAAATACGTATTTTGGGAAATACTCCAATATTTATTACTCTAGAAAACAATATTTTGACTGATAGGTTTGCGTTATTCCATGTCTGAAGATTACAGTCAGCAGTAAGTTTCACATGATGTACTTGTCATATGATGAAAAGCTTGATCTTGTTCTGGAAGATTTTTATAGTGTTCTGCTTTTAATTTTTGTTTCTTAATAACAATATTAAATTATATTAGGTACTACTTGAAATTGAAAATGAAGACTTGCAGATTGCTACAACACCTAGTTATAATAGTCAGTCCACTAGTGATGAAGTGTTCACTGATGACCATTTTGTTACAGGTAAGCAAACACATTAGTCATGTGGTTGAGGTGATCTATAGCATCATATCACTGTTTCCTGCTTTTCTGTTTTCATGAGTATCATAACATTCTTTGTAAAGAATTGAACATTACAGTATGCAATAAATTTTGATACTTCATGAACCAGGCATGAGCAATTACCTGTGCTTTTATCTCATTTCAGGATCACAAAATCATCCTTGTCTTTAATGTCTTGATAGAAATTTGTTTCAAAAAATACTAGCCAAAAATTATTTCAATAGTTGTGAATGCAAATGGAAACCAGATTGCAGGCACTAAGCAAGGTTGTGCTTTGGCCACAACTTCTGTTATTTTTTTATAATCACATTGGCTGGGAACATTTCCCTTTGCCATGGCCTTTGCATGTTTTGGGGTGGAGTGCATCAGTTCTAAAACCTCTGCTGATAGCCACAGAAGGCGTTCCTCCTGAAGGCAAAGTATAATCCTGAAATATATGTTGGTAGAATAAGCATGATTTTAGCAGAGTCAGTGAGTGTGCATCGTGATAGTAGGACATCTCTGGTTGGGAAGTTTTGCATTGCAGTTCTGATTTCCTTAGGGATGTGTATTGCTGGCTGGAGCAGCACCGAATCCCTTTTCTTATCAATACTTTATGACTGTTTAATGTCTGCCAATGCTTAATAAGAAATTAAATAAAAGGTTTGCTTTGTTGATTATAAATTCATAGCTGATGTTGAAATGAGCATAAGCCTTACTCATCGTGAAGTAGAAGAAAAGTGTAGACAGGAGTTGGAGCAGTGGGAGAAAAGACAAAAGGAACTAGAAGATGAGAAGAGGAAGAAGTGGAAATCTGAGTGGGAAGCACAGGAAAAACAGAATGAGGAGGAACATGCAAGAAGGGTGCAGCTTCAGGAGGAATTTGAGGCCGAGAGAAAAAAGTTAGACCTTCTTCATCAGGTAATTAATGATATTGAAGCCAATGTGTTCCCATCTAGACTTATCTAAACTCAAGATCTAATGTGGGAAAGACAATACTATCCCAAACTGTATGACTGTCCTAAACCCAGTCTGCTTGTTACACCAAAGTGAGATGTAAGATATTAAGTACACTCCACTGGAGTTTATGCATTCACTGCTCTGATCAACAGTGAATGAATTTGCTTGCAAAATGTTCTATTATTCTCTACACTTTACCCTTACTAAGGTTTCATATTATGACACCAGCCAAAATACTGGAAATTAGAGTTGCTAAATGAATAATGCTTATTCTGCCTTAATAGAAAAAAACTTACTTTAGACCTCACACCCCAATTCCATATTTAGATGAAAAATTATGGGTGCAGTAATATGGAGAAAAATCATTCAGTTTAGAAATGCTGGTGCTGTGGTTTATGTGGTTGGAAGCTACAATACTTCCTTCTCTTGAGTGTATCTGGGAACTGAGTCAGGCTTCGTCTGCTGAGCTCTGCCACAGTGGAACATGACTCCACATGTTGGCCAAGTGCATTCCCAGAGTATCTAGTCATACTTTGCTAGAGTGTGTGGTGCACACAGAAGGATAAAATCTGATAGCTTTTCATAAAGGAGTATAAGAATGTGAAGAAATTTAACCTTCAGACATTATGTTTGTGGGGCCACAATATTTTTAGCCTAAATATTTATATTTTGAGAGATGAAATAACACTGCATTTTCAGTTAAGTAATTTATGGCTTTCTGAAGAGGTGGGCATCTTGCTACCAGCAAAATAATTCTAGTCACCCAAATTAAGAAAGGGCTTAGTAGAAGAAAAGACCTTTGATCTCTGAAAGCCAATCCAGTGTCTGATATAGCTCTGTTTTCAACAGGCCACAAAATTTATTAGGCTTCCTCTGCTTTTTCATGTCACAGATTATTTTTGGATGTAAGATGGCTTGCTTTCTCTAGGCAAGGTGGGGCATGTCCCCATTTAGACACTTTGGTAGTCCTGTTGCAAGCACACTCTTTTGGCAGGTGGGAGATGGAGACGAACTTCCCTCATTACAGAAGGACTAAACATCTAGTCTCCTATTGCCTGAACAGCCTGCTTCTGAACATGCATGAAAAACTGCTTAGACATCTGGTAGACTTTATGCTCCAAAGTTGGAAGTGCTGGTTTGTTTATACTGGTTCCTTCATATCCTGCTATATATTTGATTTGGCTGATACAGATTTATCTTGGTTTCACCAGGAGTTCTGTGGTTCTGGATCAGCCTCTGGTTTTTAGGTACTTACTGTCTGCTAATTTTCAGTCAGATGTTAATTCCAGTTAATTCAGAGTTTTTAAATTGTGGATATGCTGGGCAAGGAGGGAATTGCTATTTATTTGGAAAGTTGCATTGCTGATGGAAATGTCAAAATAATGGTTTTATTTTGATCCTCAAAGAGCTGAGTCTCTCATTGTAATTCAGGCATTCACGAAAGTGAACTGTTGGAAAGTCAAGAAGATGGGGGAGATTAGAGAGAGAGGGTGTGTTATGACATTGCAAGTTTTATCCAATATTCAGTTAATTTATTCTGCAGAAATGCCAAACCGCAATAGAAGAAGAGTTAGAGAAAGAAAAGAAAGCTTGGAGAGCCAAAATGGTGCAACATGGGGTAAGGTTGTACCATAAGTTTTTGTCAAATGACTGTGAGGTTGCTATTATGTACTTGAGAATAAATGTTATTCTGGAGCATCTAATGCATCAGATTCTGTTTATTAATAAGTGTGCTAACACCTGTCCTTTTTTAAAAGTGGTTGCTTTGACCTAGGAATCAATCATGAAGCTGCAGCTGCAAATGGAAGTGGAGAAAAAGGCCTTGGAAGAGCAGAAAGCAAAAGAAAGACACCTGGCAGAACAACAGAATACAGCAGCTGTGAAAATCCAGGCTAGATTTAGATCATTTTTAGTCCATAAAAAATATGCTCCCATCTTAAAACAACGGAAAGATGAAATTAAAAAAAAGCAGAAAATATTAGAAGAACTAGAAAGAGAAATGAAAGAAAAAGAGGAAAAAATGAAGAGGCAAATGGAAGAAAATAGGCAAAAGAAACAAGAGGGAAAAAAGAGACAAGAAGAACTTGAAAGACAGGAATATTTGGAACAAGTGAGGAGGTGTGAGGAATATGCGAAAAAGAAAGCAAGCCTGAGACTTGAAAGAGAAAAACAGCTGCAAATAAGAAGAGAAGAACAGAGAAAACTGGGAGAAAATAGTGCAAAAGCTGTAATGAGTGAAAGTGGAGAAAACAACAAAGAAAATGTAAAGAAGGGCAAGCAGACAGAAAATACAAAAGGAATAAGAGAGCAGAAGGAACTAAATGAGCAAATAGAGGAACAAAAACAAACTGAAATGATGGATGAAAGAAATAGTTGGATGATTCCAGCAGAAAGACATTTGACACCAATACCAAATATAGGATCTGAAAGGGAACACTGTTCTCAAGTAAATAATGAGAACGTATACATGAATTCAGTAACACACGTAGAAGAAAATTGCTCACAAAATAGAGTTCTTAATAAAGATCAATATAGTCATACTTCAAAGGATGAACCTGTTAATTTTGGGGCTAATGACACAGTAGAAAATCAGGCAAACAATATATGCAGCAGTGCACTGAATATCCAGCCAAATGCTAGTAATAGAGAAGTCAAAGATCAATTTTCTCAGTCTGAAAAAATGAAGAAGACTGTGTTTCTAATGGAAGATGCTAATGAGGAAGTCGGAGAGACCTGGGACAGAATTCAAGATGTAACTGAGCATTGCAGTAGAGTAATTCTTCCCGATGATATTGAGAACAAGAGAATAAACTGGATGAACACATGTAAATCTTGGTCTAAAATATATGGAGAAAACCAAAGAAAGCAAGCAACTATAAAAAAACGACCAAGGAAATGTTCAGTTAGCAAGTTGCCTCCATTAAGTACACAAAAGATAATTCACAGTGGCCCTTGGAGTACTCTGCAGCAGGTAACTGTACAGAAGATTTAGAATGAAAAGAGAAGCCATACCATCACTGTTTCTTCTTTTTTTTTTTTCTTCTTCTTCTTCTTCTTCTTCTTCTTCTTCTTTCTTTTTTTTTCCTCCTTTTTTTCATTTGGCCTGTCAGCAGAATGCTCTTTTGGAATAGGGGGGATTACTGTTGAGCAGGAAGTAGATCCGGGTGAAAGTTCCTCCGCACGTATGCAGAATAGGGGCGATGGGAATGGCTTTTGCATTTCTCTGAACTCTGTGGAGCAGGCTGGTGTGGTAGTAGTCTTCAGCTGACTGACAGCATCATAAGCCTGGAAAAGGCAAGAGCTCCTAGCTCCTAGTTTTTCCTAAATTAATGCCTTTGTATGAGGTTCCACATTTCAGCCCGTTCAGAGTTCTGAGAAGGCTAGTCTCTCAGAAGCATGACATTGCTGATAAGCTTATGGGTGGTGCTTTGCCATAAAGGGCATCTCTTCATTACCAGCACTTACTTTTTTTATTGCTTACTAACTTAACCACTGTGTGCTTGCTCTGGGCTCTCATCTTGGTATCCACTATGAGAAGACATGCTACACTACAGACACTTTTAGTCTGAACAGTTATTATCTGTTCTTGCCAACTCTGTCATTATTTGTGATAGTGTGATGGGAAACAATTCATACTTAATTCCTTTGCTTAGTGTTACTCTTCCATCTATTCAAATTCAATGTCATTAGTCAAGCATCAGTTAGATTTATTTGAAGGTGATGTTAGAATGAAACATTGTTTTCATAATAACTTCTCCCATTTAACAGTTCAAACCTGTCATTGACATCCTTTCCTATATGAAACGCTTAACATGAGTTCTTGCATTTTCTAAAGGATTATTAGAATATAGCTTCAGTCTCTTTTTCTTTTTAAATAAAATAACCATCATTTGACATTGTACAATGAATGTTCAATATACAAACAATTAATTTTATTTATCAATAACTGTATGTAGGTCACAACACTTACATTTGAGGATTTGCCAGCCTGTAGCCTCTCAACATTAGCTGAGTGTTCAAATCTTCAAGTTTTAACTCTGAGGCGCTGTGGACTAGTTGCACTGGAAGGACTAAGTAGCTGCAAAGACCTGAGGTACATCAATGTGGAGGTACAAGGCATATTTGATTCTTTATTATAACCTGGGGAGAATGGCCAGTTTTGCTGCTTAGATGTTTAGGCATTTGCATCCAACTGAATATATAACCTTTTGTGCCTTAAGAGCATGGGAATATCAACAAAATACTCCTGAGTGTGAACAAAGTTACACCAGCAGATCTGCACAGCACATAACAAATTGCCTTGTTCTAAAGCAACAACCTGCAAATGAATCAAGCTTTCCTAAGGAAAGTGCAGCATATCAGTGTAGGATTGGCATTAGCATGACACACTGATAGATCTTTGATAGCTTGGTCTCTCTGACTCATAAGTGGGCATATGTTGTTCACCATAGCAGGTGCTCATCTTAAGCAGGAGTAGGTATGAGGAAGAGTCATTTGCAGTACACACCTTGAATATTACTTAAATTGCTCACATATATGCTCAAGGAAAAGTATAATGAGCTGTACTAGAGGCATACTGTCTAGGTACTTGCTGCTGCACAGTGTCTTACATGCCCTTGTAAATCTAATGAATAAAGAAAACATTTTGCTCTATGATGGCTGCATCTTAGTTCCAGAACCTGACAATTTACATAAAACAGCTGTGTTCACATCTCATGTTTTAACAACACCAATTCACAATAGAGTTTATATACTCTTATTATCTGTAGAAAACTTGAATGTTTCTGCTTGCACAGGATCTGGTGTTCCTTCCAAAATATGGGAGCTTTGTTGGTTTTGGTGGTTTTTTTAGTTGAGTTTGGAGTAGAGAGCTGATAATAATTATAGTTAAAGGAGTTTTGTTGGTCCAGTATTTAGAGCTTTGCAATAGGGTAAGTACCTGTATCCTTTTCTCAGTTTTATTTACCTATTCAGGATGTAATTTCTGGGATTTGATAATTTGGGGTACCTCAAAATACAAGAGCAAAGAATTAGTATGAGGGCATAATGTACATCTAAGCTGGCAGTCTTACTAAAATTGATATTCTGATGTTTATTTTTTTAGATCAAATATTGTCTCTTAAAGAACAGTTTTGGTTTTGTGATTGCTTGGTGTTTTGGTATGTGGTTTTTTTTTATTTTTATTTTTTTTATTTTAAAACCTTATGCTTTAAATAATACACAGGATTGCCTCACTGGGCTGCACCAGGAAAATTTGGTTAAGAAGACACTTAGATATACTTCTAAGTATGCTTTAATAATAGTTTAATAATTAGATATATTGTTAATAATAGTACTTCATACTTTTCCTGTGCCAGCTAATGTGGTGGTTTCCATTCAACCTTAATGAAGAAACAGCCTCTTTTTCGGTAGTTGAAACAGTCCAGGTTTGTTTCATAGATATTTCTCACATACCTAAAGCAGCTGCTTCTGTTTCCCTTGGACACTAATTCCTGCTTGATACCGCCCCTTCTTGCTGTTGTATCAACAGCTAACATTTAAGCTCTATCAGTTCTCTGCTTTAACTCGCTGGTGCAACTGAAGGGGCTGTCCAAGGGAGGAGTCGGTGTTGAGGCTTTCAAAGAAAACCTGTACTCATCTCTGCCTGCAGCTGAAGGTAGCATCAAATCTAGTCAGCGTGTTAATTCTGGAATAGGAATTAGACTCTTTGGCTTAAGTTGTTGCCATGGTTTAGGGTCAGGGCCACCCCCACAACCATAACAGATGCTCTCTGTTAACCCACCCTAGCCTACCCCCCCCCAGCCCCCTCCAAGGGAAATAGAAAGGGAATAGGGGAGAGAGACTTATTGATTAGAAAAGAAAATGAAAACAGCTTTAATACTACCACTGATAATAATAGTAATAATGATAATAAAACAGAATATGTACAAATATATACAAACTCAGTATCAAACCAAACTTCCCCCCGATAGCAATACATCATTGTTACCCCCAGCTGGGGAGCAGCCCCTGGGGAAAAGTCCCAGGCTGGACTTCAGCCACAGATGGCAACTGGGTACAGGAGCTGGGTTCTGGAACTCAGTTCAGGAACACAGGACTTGGGATCAAAGGCAGGATGGATGAAGTCCTCCTCGGATGCCAGCCACTGCAGGAGCAGCCAAAGTGAGGAAGAAGGCAGAATAAAGACAGAAGGGGTGATGGAAGGTGTTGCCCCTCCTGGTCCTTCAGGTTTTACTGGATTTGACAGATATGGGATGGAATACCCCTCTAGTGAATATTAGGGTCACTTATCTTGTCCATTGCTCCCTGCAGGTGCAGCTTTACTTTCTGCCTCCCTCTGTGTGGGACACAAGCTTAGCAGTGGCCTTGGTTTGAACACCAATCCCTGGCAGTAACTCTAAACATGGAGTGTTATCACTGCTTAAAGCAGGCAGTTTGTGAAAACATGCTGCCAACTTCAGAGAAGGCAGTTAAGTAGAAGATCTTTAGCTGAAAAGTTAAATCATTGAAAAGAACCAGCTCTGTTCTACCCCAAACCAGAACGTGGGTTTGTTACAAAGGCAAAGAATTTCATTTTTGTTTGTTTTGAGTGTCTGCAAGTGAAAACCAGAAAAAAAACAGCAAGGGGGAACAGCTGCAAAGGACAGCAAATAGTGAAATAAAAAATTAAAATGGCCAGGGGAAGGGGGGTGTTAGAAGAGCAAGATCTCTTGGGGGAAGAACATTAGCTGAGAGCAGTGTTAATGTTTGAGACCAAAACGCTTTTAAATGCAGATTTTTCACTGCTAGTAAATAGGATTTCAGCAAAACCACAGTTGCCTTCAGTAGTTTCTAGTAAATATGGTAGTTTCTATGCAGTTTTTAGTTCAGTCTCTCAGGACTTGGGAAGCTAGGAAAGTGTGTATGAAAAAGACTACCCTGTCCTTAATTTCTCCTCACACTTTTTTTTTTTTTTCAGCTACTGGGCATTTTCAGAGCCAGAATGAAGTTCAAGATCTATTTTTTTTTTTTTTTTCTATCCCAGCAAGATACAAACAGTAGTTTCTGTGACTCATCAATTTATTTTCTGAATGGAAAAACATAGAGAAGCCTTTAGTCCTGTCTAGAAGTTTAGGATAAAAATAAGCAATAATGGCTATCTATCATTTTTACACTTAATCCTGTGATTTCACTTCAGACACTGTTTAATTCCCATTATCCTTTATTGCAGGAAAACAACATTCAGATAATTGACTGTGAAAATCTAGAAAATCTCTGTATCCTGATATTGAATAAGAACCATCTTTCATCAGTTTCTGGCTTACATGGCTGTATAAATCTCCAAAATCTTGAACTCTCCTACAATAGAATCACTCGAATTGGTAAGGAAAATAATGAAAAACTATTCTAACTTGTATAACAACATTCATGCTGTTTATATTCTGAATTCTACTTCTCTTGGATCCATGACCATCTAGCTGCTAAGCTGAAGGAGAATCAGGAAACAGAACAGATCTGCATTTTAAGGCATGCTCAACGTCACATTTATTTGCAGTACGTCTTAGCTACTGCCATGCTTTCCTTCTACTAGGTCATAGCACTATTGTCAACCAAAGAGAACTAAAAATCTTTCTAGGGGGTCCCTTTACCTGCAGTGTCTCAGTTGGAATATGTAAGTTCCCTGAGTTCAGTTCATGTACAACAGCAATTCATATAAGCCCTAGCCTTGCAACTGCAGAAAATTCCAGTGTGTTCCTGACTGACACAGTAAGTAGTTATCTAGAAATCGTATTGTCTGTCTGAGTCTGTGAACCATGCTAAACACTAGGTCACTAAAATGCTGCCCATTCTGGCTCCAAACTATCATTCTATGCTTCCCTCCCACTTTGGCTCTGCATTGCTGCTCATTGCCCCAAAGCTGGAAAAAAGAATGAGGTTAAGGTAAAATCATAAATATCACTTAGGCACAGCAGGTGTGCCGACCCTATTGTACTTACAAAGGCAGTTTGTGGTATTTGTTAGGTCTCACAAATAGGAAGCAACAGGTGTAGCTTTAGCATAGAATCATAGAATCATTTA